ATACATAGATTTACATGAATTAATTAATGTTAGTAGATTTAGAACTAAATTTCTAATACTGTCTTAATTGGTAACCAACAGTAATTGTCATAGCTAATTTATAAACCATTGAGGGAAAGTGGATTCGAACTAACAAAAGTGTTTTGTTAATTGATTGAATTCGTGTTAGGAATTAAGTTTATCTAAATTTGCAAAATTAGATAAATCCCCTTTATTTGTTAGTAAATTAGGTTAATTTAATAGTAGATATATTAATTAGTTAAAATCGTTCCCTGTGATCGACACCTGACTTACCCGACTATTCTATAATGGGACTAGGTACACTGCCTAGGTGCAATTTAGTTAGTTAAGTTAGTTAGGTTATAAATATAAAATTAGGTGTAACTATTTGCACACATTGTAATACTTAGTGAGTTCCCCAGAGCATACCCCACACACAATCTACGTAACGCATATCATATTAGCTATAAAAGCTACATATACCAATTAAGCCATGCATACATAAACCTGTAAGGATGTCATGGGCTCCCCCAGGGTCTTACACCTTCGTACCATGAGCTACCCCACATGGTCTTTACTTGGGAATGCCATGGGCTACCCCACATGGTCTTATATCCAACTGCCACGGGCTCCCCCGGGGTCTTTCATGCAATAAGATACATAATCATCCTAGCATATCCTATCACAGAAGTGTCTAACATACTACATACACATACATAAACCTATAAGGATGTTGTGGGCTCCCCCAGGGTCTTATACCATCGTGCAATGGGCTACCCCACATGGTCTTTACCTGAGAATGCCATGGGCTATCCCACATGGTCTTATATCCAACTGCTACGGGCCCCCCTAGGGTCTTCCATGTAATAACATACAATCACTAGCATACTACTTAGAACAAAGCTAACTATCATACCTCATACTCTACAATGCTAGTGTACCACATAACAAAAAAACGGGTCGACCTTGGTGCCTTAGACCCATTGGTACGGTGAGAAGACTCACCTCTCCCGAATGCTAGTGTACCACATAACATAAAATGGGTCGGCCTTAGTGCCTTATACCCATTGGTATGGTGAGAAGACTCGCCTCTCCTGAATGTTGAAACTGACAATGCTAGAACCAGATATGTCCCACGAGTTGCTCCGATTCAACTGCCTGTAAGCATCATAAGATAGACTTGTCAAAATCCCAAAATTACCCTCAAAGTCAACCACGGTTAACCTTAGTCAAAGTCAAATTCAACAGTCTATATTGATCTAAACTCGTCAAGTGCAGCTAGCGACTCGTCGAGTTCCTACCGAGTCCAGACAACCTGATCAAACCCTAGCCAACTCGCCGAGTTATTTCATCAACTCGACAAGTTCACTTGATATTGTGAAGGCGGGGAAACCCGATCCAACTCGTTGAGTTCCTAGAGCAACTCGTTGAGTCCCCCTTCATGTTTGCTTGTTGTGATGATTCACCGAATCCAAGGACTCCGGGGATTAGATCTAAATCCCTAAGGTGTTTAGAAGGATAATGTTTCCAACTTTACCTTCTAGAACCGTTCTAAATGCTCCAAGGCCCTTAACAAAGGTTGGAAAGCTCCAAAGCTTTGCCATATGGTCTAAAACTCTAGGGATCTGAAATCCCTCATTTCCAGAAAGGTTTCCAGTCCTCAAAATGTTCCAAAAATGGAGGCTTTATGGACATGCATTTCCAATGCATGTCCTTAGGTCAAAATGGCTGAAAAGAGGGAAATTTGCCCTAAAACCCTTTCATGGTGTCCTTGCTCAACCAAAGGTCAGATCTAGCCTACCTTGGGACCATTTTGCTCTGGAGATTCATAAAGTTGCAAACTTTATGAATCACATGCATGCAATCAACAAGAAGGGTAGGAAATGAAGAGTAAACTCAAGATCTAGCCCTATTTTATGGTAAAAATCGAGTCTTGAAGACTTACAACAGTCCAAAAGATGATTAAGCTCAAGGATGGGTGCTTGGTTTGCTGGATCTCCTCACTATCTCCTTCTTCTTGAGCTTCAAAGGTCACTCGATGTAACACCCAAAAATTCAAGCTAAATTTTAACTTTTCAAAAACATTTTAAATCAATAATCATTACAACTTTGTTTCCAAAATAGTTTATATCAGAGTTTTCCCAACAATCATAACAAAAGATGAGGAGCTGTACAATCACGCCTTAGCCTTGCCGCGATCCCCCAATGTACCTGAAATCATAAACTGAAACTGTAAGCCCGAAAGCTTAGCGAGTTACCCAAAAATACCCATACTCACAGCTATACACATAGAATCACAAACAACATACTATGGGTCCAGTCAACCATCGGGTTGGAATACCCCAGGCCCACAACCAACATGTTGGAATGCCAACATACTATGGGTCCAATCATCATCGAGATGGAATATCCCAGGCCCACAACCAACAGGTTGAAATGCCCACATACTGTGATTCCAATCATCCTCGGGATGGACTACTCATAACCCACAACCAACAGTTTGGAATGCCTAGATCTATTGGCATTCGCACAAAGCAGATAAACCTCAACCGCCAAACAAATATGTGCACATATATAACAGATAATCACATAACAGTCTATAGACAACAACTAATCTACCATATCATAGCACATAGCACATAATACCATCCTATCTATCAGGATACCGATCTAACAGATCAACACATACCACGTAATATTATCCTCTCCTCTAGGATACCGATCTAACAGATCATACGAACATAACATAACCATGTAACAATCCAAAGGGCCGACCTTGGTGCCTTTGACCCTTGAGTATAGTGAGGATAACTCACCTTGCGACTGGCGACTGGAAATAGAAAGCTCAACTCTTGAATCACTGCCACGAACTCCACCACCTATAATCACCATAAAACCCTTTTCCATAAATTTCCCAATTCACCAAAATACCCCCAGAGGTCAACTGGTCAACCCTTGGTGAAAGTCAACAGCCCATGCTGACCCTACTCGTCGAGTGCAGTTCACCGACTCGTCGAGTCCTTCCTGAACTCGAGAAGTCGTGAAATCCTTGGTTGACTCATCGAGTTTCCACCACCTATAATCACCATAAAACCATTTTCCATAAATTTCCCAATTCACCAAAATACCCCCAGAGGTCAACTGGTCAACCCTTGGTCAAAGTCAACAACCCATGCTGACCCGACTCGTCGAGTCCTTCCTGAACTCGAGAAGTCGTGAAATCCTTGGTTGACTCATCGAGTTTCCCAATAAATCGCCGAGTTCGTGCGTGTCCAAAGGTTGGGAAAACCCTAGCTGACTCGCCGAGTCATAAACTGACTCGCCGAGTCATAAACTGACTCGCCGAGCCCAAGGCAATCTCCATCGGACTCGCCGAATTGTATGAAGAAGTAAAAACATATTATATTTTAACGGGAGTAATCTTAACGAAATTTCTAGCAGACTTAAAAAACGAACACGTAGATATGAAGATCGTTAAAATCAGATATTGTATTAAGAAGTTACGATGTTCGGAATATAAAACCTAAGCCAAACCACAAGACATATGCAACCAAACAGTCGAGGCCGCGATGGACATAAGTATCAACAACCCCAAATACCTCATTAATCAGGGACGGACGCATGATTTGGTAGTAGTTGTTGCCGGTTCGTAGTAGGTGTTGCCGGTAAGTAGAAAAAAGAAAAAAAATTGAAAAATATCAAAAAATTTAAACTACAAACAGAAAAAGTAGGGGTTGTCGGTGCCACTGCGGGCACGCAATGAGAACCGTCCCTATCATTAATGATAGTCCTATTTTAGATGTTGTGAGAAAAATCCTAAATAAATCATTAATAAGTACTGAATTGGTACAAAAACAAAAAATGACTTATTTTGAAAAAAATATATTAAGAACTAAATGTGTACAAAAATATTAAGAACTAAATGTGTACAAAATGAGAAATACATTACCCTAATAAGTCATTTTTTCCGGTTAATCTGGTGTAACCGATCATAAGGACTGGATGTGTACAGTTTAACAAGTTGAAGGGGTAAATGTGAACGAAAAAAAAACTCAACAACCAAATGTGTACTAATCGAAAAATATATTACCTTTTTTAAGTCATTATCCCTTAAACAAACTGAAAAATTAATTATTTACCTTTCCAAAAACACACAACTCCTAAAATTGATAATCTCTTAATTTTCTAAATAATTTTAAAATAAAAGCCTTAGATTTGTGGAGTACAATTTTGATGGAAGAGACGACTTGCAAAATCAATGGTTAAAAATAGCTCAAGTCCATGGGAGGCTAGTGCAATATAAAGCACAGGAACAAAAACTCTTATCTGGCAACACCACCACTCTCGGAAACCCCTACCCCTCTCTCGAAGCCTCATCTCTCTACCACCAACTGAACCCAAAGCACATTTTTCTCATCCTCCGTCCCAACCACTGCAACTCCTCCGTGCGTATCTTACAGGGAAACTCCAAATTGACTTTGCAGAGTGATCCGTAGCTTCAGTTTCAGGTTTTAACTTGAATTTCAATCAATTTACATTAATGAAAATGCCTATAAACTCTAATTCGTCACTTCTGCCATTATACTCTCTATATATAAACATGTTATTTATATGAAATTATTCTTTAGTGGATGAAGCACCCAGTGCTTGGTTGCCTAGGGTTTTTGTTAAGAGGAGGTGTGTAGAATGTGGATTTGCTGAGTAAATCACTCTCACTATACTAATTATCTTTCGATATTCAGGATCCATAAAGGACTACCCTTTTTGTTTCAATTAAATGTACATATTAGGTGTATGCTCCTCCATTCGTCAACAAGACGCCTCAGCTTTTCACTGAAACGCAATAGGAAAGTATAGACGTAAGAGTTCTTATTTCTTAGAGTTTAGCGGGTCAATTTAACCTAATTCCGTGATGGGAGCTAAGCTTTATGTTCGTTAACAAGCTCATAAATTTTTATTTCAACCTTTTCTTATTTGTGCTTTTGCAGACGATATATCTAATGGCAATCGTGCCTGGTGGGAGTACATGGGTGGCTAGGTGGGGAGTTCAACCTCAATTAATGTCCAGAGCCTCTTCAACAAGCAAGTCTTTTTTGCATTTGCCTCAGTGAGTGTCTTTATCACCTTATTAAGATTATGTGTTTTATCCAATGAATCCTTTTGAATTGGCAAATCTTATGTTTGTTGCTGCATTACTACAAATGTTACTCTAGTTATACATGAAATCAAGGAATTTGCAGTTTTTCTTGTTTAAAATCATGTCCAATTGGGCCTATGTTTTTCAATAATAGTTGCTGTACAGTACTGTAGGTGTCTCCACATGTCTTCAAGAAATCTTAAAAAGTATTCAAGTTTTGACCTTCATGCTTCTTTACATTTGCAAGCTAGCAAAATTTAAATAGCATGTGGGTGGATCTATATCTTAAGATGGATGGGGAGACAAAAGACAGTTGATTTAGTACAGATTTTGGATAATCTTCCATGCTATTAGAAATACTTTGAAGATATCATAACATTCTGTATTAGGGTTGGGGATACTGTTGCAAGGTTTATCTTTAATGATATGTCTAGCTATGTTCACTTGGCTAATTGGGTAGTTAGCCATTCATTCCTTGCTAGAGGTTTCATTTGTTGACATATGTTAGAGTAGGATAAGATTTATGGTTCAATATTTTGCACTGATATGAAATGCTTCTGTGTGGTAATTGGTATATAAATTATATTTATATGTCATGAGAGTATGATATGGCGATAAAACTTGAATGTAGGTTCTTTCATGGTCATAGAAATAATTTGTATGTTGTAGAAGTATATGCAAAACTTCACACATAGGAAATAGGGAAACTGGTCAAATTGAAGGAGGTGAAGGGGGGAGTTTGTAAATTACCAACTACAAGAATCAAATAAAGTAAACAATATTTTAAGATTTAAAAGTCCTCCCAACATCATGTTTGTTTTCAACTTTGGTTTAAACATATGATAATAAATATCCATTTGCTTTTCAGTTTCTCAATTAATACAAGAGAGTTGGCATCACCATGTTCTGCCTTCTGTTCACAAGGTTCTTTGCATGCACTATACAATATGCAGTCATTTGGTAAATCTCACCACAGAAGAGGTGGTCGCTTCATTGTTAGAGCTGAAAGTGTAAAGTTTAATCTCAGATCATCTTTCTTTTAATATTTTATGTTCTTCCCCTTTTGTTTATTGATTATATTTGTGTATATATAATATATCTTGTACACATAGGATTTTTATTCAGTGCTTGGCGTGTCAAAGAATGCTAGCAAAGCAGAAATAAAAAGCGGTTAGTAAAATTATAAGTTCTTTTTTTTTTTTTTTAATCCCATAATTAAATTCTCGTTTATATCATTGACTCTATAAATTCATTTTTAGCATATCGGAAGCTTGCAAGGAGTTATCATCCTGATGTAAACAAGTAAAGTTCAACTCCAGCTTCCACCTTTACAAGATCTCCTATAATATTTCTTACAATTAACATTAATATATATATATATATATATATATATATATATATATATATATATATATATATTTTTTATAAACTCATCTTGTGTGTATCTTCCCAGAGAACCAGGAGCCGAACAAAAATTCAAGGACATTAGCAATGCTTATGAAGTAACCTCCTTAACCTCATATTTTACCCATATTTTTTTTCCAGAATTTTTATGAAAAAAAGTTGTTTTGCAGGTTTTATCAGACGATGAAAAACGTTCCATATATGATAGATATGGGGAAGCCGGGCTTAAAGGCGCTGGTGTTGGCACCGGGGTGAGTTTCTTCTACCTAAAAAAATATTTTATCCACAAGTCCCCTTTCGTTACACAGAACAAAGCACGTTGTACTGTGTTTGACATACATCAGTACTGTCCTGTGTCATGTACTCACGACAATACAATATACCTAAAAATTACCGTCTGTCCTTTCTTGTATTGTCCTGTGGCCTCTAGTCAGGACATACAACATACCTAAA